TCCCCCAATGCTAGATATTGTGAAGGAGGAAGCCTCAGGGCTTCTCCTGCTCCAGCCACTGCCTGGCCAGTCACTTAAGGGACTTGGGTGAGAACCACCTAGGTGAGTGCAGTCAAGACATGGAACCATGAGAAATAATATAATAATAATAATATAATAATAGTAATATAATAACAACAACAACAACAACAATAATAACAACAACAACTGATCATTGTTTAATACCATTCAGTTCAGAAAAATTGTGGAGCAGTGTAGATACCTAGATCACTGATCCCTTAAACATCTCTTTTGGCTGTTTGTATGGTCACGAGAGGCATAAGCCATGCCCTTTGGAGAGGTTTAAAGTGCCACCACCAGCCAGTGGTGGGCAGTGGCTCCAGGCTGCAGCAGCATCCTGCCCGACCGATATGCCAGGCTTCCTGTCTGCCAGGGGCCTCGGGCTATGGGACTCCTCTGGCTGGACCCCTCGCCTGTGGAGGCGTTGGCTGCCTGGCCCTTGGGGAGCAACCCACTCTTCCTTCTCCGGCAGAGCTGGGAAGATATCCAGGGCCAGCTGTATGCTTTGGAAATCTTCTCTGGTTCCTCGGCTCTCTCTCCTGTGCAGAAGTATAAGATTAACCTCCAGTTTTACACCCCAGAGCTCCAAGTACCATACAAGGTTCTGTGTTTTTCAGGTGCAAGTTCTTTATTTGGCTTTTAGCAAATGAGAGTAATAAGAAACTCGAATCTGCAGGTCCTTAGGGGGCAAAGCTGGGGACCAGAAGAGTTAAGGGGTTTCCAGTTACCCTCTGGCTTGTGCTCAAAGTTCTCATGCTCCCCGAAGAATGGGCGTGAAGGCTCAGTCTACGCAATGGCTGGGGATGGAAACTTGAGACAGAGGACTGAGGGTCCCCAGAATTATAATACATGCCGTTAGCTGAGAAAGAAAGAACAGGGAGCTCTTATAAGGGGGTGTGGTAAACACAGTATACCCTTTCAAGATGTGTTCTCAGCAGCTGTACTCATCTACTAGCCCTGCTATGGACTGAATGTGACCCCCAAAACTCATAATTTGAAACTAATCCTTAATGTGATGGTTTTTGTGAATGTGGAATAATTAGGTTTACGTGAGGTCATGTGGAGCCCCCATGTTGGATTAGTGCCCTTATAGGAAGAGAAAGAGACCAGAGCCCTCTCTTTCTGCCCTATGAAGACACAGCAAAGAGGTGGCCATCTGCAAACCAGAAAGAGGGTTTGACACCAAATCTTCCCAGACACTGAATCTGTCGGAACTTGATCTTGAACTTAACCAACTTCCTGAACTGTGAGAAGTAAATATTTGTTGTTTAAGACACCCAGTTTATGGTATTTTGTTACTGTGGCCCCAGCTAAGACAAGCCCTGAGACCCTATTTTTAACTTTGTCTTCTGGGCCCAGATGAACCTGAGAGATTATCTCCTCCAGCCTGATCCTCTTACGAGTGAAGACCAGCGCAGCTTGGGGACTTGCCCAAGGTCACACAGCTCTGTGGAGAACATCCTCCACAATGTAGGTGACCTGCTACAATGAGGCCTTGGCTTTCAAATCAGAAAGACATTGGCTTTTGCTGGTCACTGTCCATCTACACTGAGGGAATTAGAGAACAGAGACAATTATCCAGTGAATCCACCAAGCTTTTTGAGAAAAGAGAGAATTTCTTCATGGGGATTGGTTCTCTATAGCAGTGGTCTCCAGCCTTTTTGGCACCAGGGATCAGTGCTCCTATGAGAAACTAATGCCTGATGATCTGAGGTGGAGCTGAGGCGGTGATGCTAGCGCTGGGGAGCAGCTGCAAATACAGATGAAGCTTTGCTGGCTCACCTGCCGCTCACATCCTGCTCTGCAGCCCGGTGCAGCCCTGCTCTGCAGTCCATGGTTCCTAACGGGCCAAGGACCGGTACCGGTCTGCAACCCAGGGGTTGGAGACTCCTCCTCTGTAAGGATTGAAAATCCCTGATGTGTGTTCAGGATTCCAGGTCATTTCATAGAGACAGAGACAGAGACATTGATAGTTATGACCACCATGCAGCAGAGCCCAGTTCCCTTGCAGCTCTCGAATTCATAAGAAGCCCAATTTAAGTGACTTTGCAAATGGACTACTTAAGTTCAAGTTCTGACTGTGCTCTTACTAGGCTGTGTGACCTTAGGTAAGCTACTTAACCTTTCTGTGCCTCAGTTTTCTCACCTGTAAAATGAATAATAGTGGCACCTCCCTCAGGGATTGTTGTAAAAATTATTTCACTCTCTATCTTAGAAAAGTTCCTGGTTATTAATTGCAGTGGTATGGATTGTCATTATTTTTATCTGAACTTTAGTTTTCATTGTAACTAAGCTTGGACAGCTGCAGAGGTTATGCAATGGTGTGTTTAATAATGATTTGAATTTGAATGTGCTTGGTGGAGTACAAACTCTCCAGCTTGCGACAGTCTCTACCACTTACATTTCAGATGTTTATGTAGGCCCTGTAGGCCCTTGGATTTGTAATTATGATCTATTAGGAAGGTAAATTGGACAGATCAAGACGTAGCATTTATAACTGCAAAGATCTCTGGTAATGGAAGTGATGTCTGAAGTCAGTGAAACCATTTTCAAAGTACACCAGAGTATTAATAAGGCCATAGTCCTTCCTCTTCTCTTGCTGCTGTCCCCATGCTCATGGTGGAGGTGAAGCAAGGCAGAAAAGTTTAAAACAGTGGCTGCCCACAAACGGACCCTCACATGTGAGCGCCAGCATTTCAGTCTTGGTCTGAAGGCTGGAAAAGACCAATGTCCCAGCTCGAGCAGTGGGGCAGGAGGAGTCCCCTCTTATTCAAGAAAGTATCAGCCTTTCTGTTCTAGTCATAAGACCTTCAACTGATTGGATGAGGCCCACTCACATCGGGGAGGGCAATCTGCTTTACTCAGTCTACCGATTCAAAGGTCAGTCTCATCCAGAAATACCCAGAATGTTTGCCCATATGTCAGGTACTCCATGGCTAGTCAAACTGATGCATAAACTCAGCTTCACACATACACTCACAGATGTGTGGAGATACACCAGCCTGGCGTTGTGGGCAGTGCATGCCACGTGGCTTCTGCAGCCACACCGATTCCTTGGCTGTGTTGGATATTCCTGCTCCTGAGAGGGGCTGTGCATTGTGGGGCAGTTGTCAGCTCTGGGAATGGAGCTATGTGACCGAGGCTTCCCACTGATAAATGGCTGACAGTGAACAATTTCTCTTTGCTATGGTTTCCTCATAGCATGATTTTCTCCAGATTCTAGTGGGATGGAAGGGCAATTTCAACACCTGTTACAGGAGCGAGGAGGTGGAGGCTGTGGGCTTACAGGCCCTTTGTCTTCCTTCCCAGCTCTGAAACATGCTCTGAGCAGCAGGCATGCATTTCCTTGTCCCCAGACCTGTCGCTGCTGTAAGAATTTAACTTGTTCAGTCTCCTAGTTGGCGAGATTTTGTCCTCGTCTCCAATCCCTCTTTTGCACGTCTCTCTCCTGTGTGTTTATTTTGGCCTCTGGCTGCACAAACCTACCATCCTGATGGCCCCAAAGGCCTGCTTCATTCTGGGGTCCAGCATTAAGATGCTCACTGCTTACTCTCTTAAGGCACATTCTCCAAAGGCTCTGCCAGTAATAAAGATGATTTTAGGGTCATCATTTGTCTATTCCTATGTCTATTTCAAGACCGTTTGGAATTTTGGTGAGAAAAGAGATACTATTGATTAGATCCCTCAACTCCAAATGAGCTTATTAGTAAGTATTAAGGAAATTAATTTTTTACTTGTGATATGAGTTCCAAATATTTTTTCTAGGTTTTAATTTCTCTTTTCATTAGTTGTTTGGTGTTTTTGTTCTCTATATAAAGGAAATCGAGTCAAATTTATCAATCTCATATTTTATGGATATTGAAGTTTTGTGTCATGCCTAAAAATAGCCTTTCCCCTTGAATTATAAAATGTTTTCTTCATTTTTTTTCGGGTACATACCTGGTTCCATTTTTCACATTTAATCTTTGTGAGCTCTTACCTAATATGGCATGCTACCAGGAAGTTGGCTTGATCTTGAGGGAATGGGACTTGAGGAGGGGAAAAAGAAGGAGGGACAAGGGAACACAGGGCCCCTGTCTGCTCTTGGGGGATGTTCGGTGTGTGCAGTGATGGGCCAGATGTAGGTCTCTAGAATTGCCCGAGCACTTCAGTGGCCATAGTGGGGAGGAGGAAGAGCTGGAGTGGCCTCCCCCACCCCCCCACGCCCGAGGCTTAGCAGGTGGCTTTCTCAGCCTACTCTGTGGGTTGGGTGGCCGCAGGATTGGAGTCCACACCTTCTAGCTGCAAGGGTTTGTTCTCTGGACTCAAAGGTCCAAGCCCAGCTTGCTCAGGGAAGAACAGGTCTGGCTCCGAGGCCGACGGGTGCAGTGTCCCCTCACTCTGAGCCCGCACTGCACGTCCCAGAGGTCTGCGCTCGGCCTGGGCCTGGCTGAGCTCTGATCCTGCTCTGAAGGCCGGGTCTACCGAGATGACCAAAGAACCCAGGCGGGGCTGCGACCACGGCCTCAACCACGGCCTCTGAGGGGAAAGCGGCGGCTCACTTCCTGTCCCCTGACAAAAGCCAACAACAGGCTCAGACGTGACATCACCCCGAGACCAGCCCTCCTGCCTCGGGTACTCATTACGCTCAGGTCCTTTCTCGTGTTGTGAAGGAACATGCTTCCAGGGGAGCAGAGCAGGCCGCCGGCTTTTCCTCCCCGCCAGCCCATCCTGGACTATTAAGTCATTCCCTAACTTTTTGTATTTCATAAGCATAATTAAACACTGAGAAGTTCTTTGATCTTTCTCTGATTCTTTTTATATAAACTGGAATGAATGTGAGGAGGCTTTATTATAGGTGTTTGCATGCTGTATGTTTACATCTATATATTAAATCTCGTGCTCTCTCTTCTCTCAGTGATGTGATTAATTCTACATGGTTTTTGCTTGTTTCTTTCTAGCTGCCTTCCCTTCCCGCTCAGCCCTCGACAGCCTCCAGTCGGTCTCCCACGTACGGTGCCTTCCGTGGCCTGGGCCGGCACACGCTGCCTGCCGTCGTCCGTTCCGGTCCGTTTCCCGATCCCCACGACTCCACATTTCCTGCGGGTTCTGTAAGCGACCTGACATCCTTCCTAAGAGTCCCGTTTCTGCTTACCAGGGTTGGCTCTTATTGTTTGCAACTATGAATCCTGAACAATATCTCCTGTTCCCCAAGGCCTGAGGTCTTAGTGAAGTCAGAGTGGTTCTTCCTGGCGAACAGTAATATATTGATAAACTATTTCTCTAACAACAACAAAAAAAATCCCTAATATATGGCATTTGGCATTTGCTGATTTCCACGGCATAAATACTCCCACAATGGTCAGTTTCAAAATGCCCCCTTTAAACACCTGACTAGTAAGATTCTTGAATATTTAGTGATTGGCCGTCGGAAGCCAGGATGGGCCAATGTCAGGGCAGCACTGTTACGCCTTCGAACCACACAGGTGAGCATATGGACAAGAAGAATGCCTTCTGGGTGTGACTTTGATAGCCAGGGTTCTAAGCTTGCCACCCTCGGACCGGGAGGACTGTGAAGAGGGTGGCGGTGAGCAGTGGTTGTTCCTTAAGTGAGGGCAGAAAGCTGAGGCCAGAAAGAGTCCTTTCCTCTGTAGCTGGGGAAGAAACCTGTCTTTGCTGGTACCCAAAACCTTGGCCCACTACTAAACAAGATTCTATGACTTTGGGCCCGCCACCCCTTCCATCTGGGCCTCAGTTTCCCCAAACAAAAAACGGGGTGTCTCTTGCCATGTTAACGTCAGGAAATGCTTTGTGAGAACCAGGCATTCTGTGGTGGGTCAACTGTGCAGGGAGAGTTTACGTCTTCCGGGGCTACGGCTGAGGGACTGAGTCTTAGCAAAGGCTTCTGGCTCTGCATATCTGCAGCATCTGCGTGATGCATGCCTGGTGTGGGTGCTGGGCCTGCTGCGTGTGTCTGTGTGTGCTGTGTATGATGTGGTGAAACCAGGCCCTGGGGACATCCAGCCCAGGGTGGCTTCAGGCATATGTCTTGAATTGCTGGTAACTCAGCGGGTGAGCAGACACAGAATCCTGTTTTAGAGGACATGAAGAGGATTTGAATGTTTAATAAGTAAAGGATGGACAAAACACGCTATAAGAAATCCACAAAATGTCACTGGCATTGGCTGGCCTATTCCCTCTGCTGTGTGTTGACAGCATGTTGTAAATAGTCTGATTAATCCGTGTCCTCTTGTGACCTAGAAATTCACAATCTGAGTTTAGGTTTGTACTTGGGGCTTAATGTGTTGGCCAATTACAGAGAGAAACAAAGGGGACTGCATGATTTTCTGGTCTCACATCAGGAATGTCCCGTACAGAGCTCATTGGCCTCCCAGAGCCACTGGTGCCCCTACACCAGCAAAAGTTGCCATACTTAGAGATTCTGGAACACCTGGTGCTTCTGCCCTGCTGGGTCCCAGCCAGCCTTATTGCACTGCCTGTAATCAGAGCTGAGCGTGAAACTCCAGAGGTCTTGGGCAATGCCATCTGTCCCACTGGAGGGACTGGGTCCACTCACATGCCTGCTCCCTTCCTCACCTGTCAAGGCATTCTCTCAACATTAAACCCTGAAATATCTGGGTAGATGTCGAGGTCTTCAGTAGCAACACCTAACATTTATGAACCACGTTAATCCAAGACTCTATTTTATATTAACTGTTTCCCCCGCAAAAAAGACTGTAGTACAGCTCACATTTGCTGGTGCCACCAGATGTCTCTGGCATTCTGGGCTCAGGCCTCCCCTGGCATCTATCAGGTCTTACAGCCAGTGGGAGTGTGTTGATGCCCAAAGGGTTAAATGGCCTCCTGTCACCACTTGGCCCCAAACAGCTCTGTGAAGGTGGCATCGGGAGTCCTCAGTGCCTGAAGCTCACCCAGACCCCGTGGGCACTGTTGTCCCAGAGAGAATCGCAGTGTCAGGTAAAGCTCAGAGCACCCGTAGGAAACAAGGTCTGTTTGTCAGCTGACCCTTTCACTTCCTGTTTCACCACCTGCTTGCCCCTGACCCTGGTGCTGAGAGCTTGGGATCTATATTTCGAGGGGAGCTGGAGGGGGTCCCCTGACCTGTCTCCTTAGTCTGAAAGAAATGGGCAAAATTCTGTTTTATATGTAAAGCAGAGAAGGAAAGTCTGTGCTCAAAATATGCCTTTGGGGGGACATGAAATTTCCCAAATCTTTCTCTTTAAAGAGCCAGCTACAGCAATAGTCTGGCTAGTTGATTAGCATTGAATTAATGTGACGTCATTCAAAATTACTATTAGGTTGAAGTTACAATTTTGAAGGCCTAAAAAAAAAAATCCCCTTTCTCCTAAAATGAACGTTACGTTGTCCTGCACCAGAGGAGAACAGATCTATAGACTTTGGGAAGCGGGAGGCTCCCTGCCTGGAGCCGAGGTCAAAGTTCAGGCCTGGGAGGCCCCAGGTCCTGCCATTTTCAGGAGGGCAGTGGCATGGCATTATCGAGGCCATCTTCCGTTCGAATGCTGCAAGAGTTTGGTCACAAACCGTGTGAGGTGAGGGGGCGATGTGAGCCCTGGGAATTGCTGTCTCTTTAGATTTCGGTGCCACTTGGGACACCCAAAGTCATTGCCTTGAATGTGGCAGGGGAAAGCTCATGGTAATGAACAGGATACTTAATTTCTTTTTCCCGCAGGACCAGGGAGAAGGGGGGTCTCACTAAGAAAGACTCCACACAGCTCTGCCGTTTGAGCCTTTGCAGATGCCAGTGACCAGCCTGGCCAGGAAAGCGCACTTGGGTGGGAGCAGGCTGTGCCCTTGGTCCATGAGGTGGCTCAGGAACAGCCAGGAAAGCCCAGTGAGGGAGGCAGGAGGTGGCTCTCTCCCGCGTCAGGACCAATGACCCCGAGAGCATCAGCTAGTTTCCTCCAAGCACATGGGCGTTGGGGGCGGGGAAGGTTCAGGGCCAGAAGACTCCCCTTGATCCGGGAGGACACCTTGCATTTCGAGGGGAACATTTGACATGGAGGCCTGTTGTAGTGGCATAAAAAATACCTCGTGAAATGCTCAGCTTTTTCTGTTGTAAAAAAAAATTTATTTTAATTTGTTTCAAGTATACAGTACATTGATTAGACATCTATATAGTTCATAAAACAATCTCCCCAATTGCTCCCTCCCTCCCCTGGCCCTCCACTTAGCCAACATATTAATGCTGACTGCATTCCCTATGCCGTGCTCCCCATCGCGGTGACCATCTATCAACTACTAATTTGTACTTCTTTAACCCTTCACATTCTTTTTTCTTTTAATGACGAAGTAATGCACGTGGGTGCTTCTTTGTGCCCAGGCTCAGGGATAGCTGGGTCTGGGGTCTGGGTAATAGGGGTGTGAGTCACATATATTACTTGGCAAAACACAACAAAAAAGGAAAACAAATCCAGAGTTTTTATATGTGGGAGGGCTGCATCAACATGGCCCCGGTAACAAACTGTTGCGTCTAAATGTCTTGCTTCCGGACTCGGAGTCCCAGCAGCCCCGGGGGAGTCTGGCCGAGAGGCTGCAGCCCAGCGCCCCGCTTCCTGGGTCTGTTACGACAAGTCAGGTGTCCGGAGCCCCAGCATTCTGGACCTCGAACCCCGAACCCCCTCCTCGCCGGCCTGGCACATAGCAGGTGCTCAATGATTGCTTTCTGGACGGAATTAAAACTACGTCCCTGCCTCCAGCAGGTCAAGAGGAGATGTGCGTACCCGCCGGCCGCCTGGCATTCTCCGGCTCTCGGGATTCTGGGACCAAAACCGCAGCCTCTGCCCCGGGTCGGCGAGGGCCGCGTGGAGCAGGGCGCGCGCGTTCGCGCCGAGGCCTCGAAGCGTGTGGAAGAGCAGAGCGCGCTCCCGGGAGAGCGAGGGCGCGGGAAGCTGCTGTGTCTGAGTTTCCAGATAGTTTCGTGCGTGTTTGACTCGAAAGCACAGGAAGCCTGTGGCTTGCCCACAGAAGGGACCGAGTAACCGTGAGGAGGACGAGGACGGCCAAATACCAGCCTGCACAGCGGGCCGTGGGGCCCTGCGCCCTGGGGCGTCCCTTCCCGTGACCCCACCGGAGCTGGAAGGCGCAGGCCATGGTGCAGGAGTCGGAAGCCAGGACCGCCCTCAGGAGGCCTGGGATGGGTCGGCGTGCGTGCCCGTGTCGCCGGCCCTCACGGGCGGCTGCCAAGCGTGGCAGCGTGGGGCGCCCATGTATGCGCCCCGGCCTCGGGGAGAAGGCCCCGGTGGACGCGAGCTTTGACACCCTCCGCTCGGATCTGAACCCAGGTTTCTAATTTCCCCGTCATTTGCCCTTTCTCCCTCCCCCTGGGCCGGCTTCTCTGTCATTTCATTTCCTGCAGTAGTTCTCATCTTACAGCAGAGGTGAAGAGAGCTGACCTCTCCTTGCCCTGAAGCTGAATAAAACACAGAACAGATTTTGTGTGTGTGTGTGAATAAAAATAGGCTTGAATGCCACCAGCCAGTCACTTCGACCTCCACTCAGCCCATCTGGCCTTGGTCTCTCCCACCCACCAGCCCACAGGACAGGGCGGCACAGAGAGGGAGCAGGGTCCCGGGGTGGGAGCAGAGGGGCCCGTGGCAGGGCGGAGGTGACGGGGCAGGACAGAGTGGAGCTCAGCCAGTCTCGGTGGCAGTTGGACAACTTTATCCTCTCCCTTGAGGGTCCGCTGTGAGGATGGAAACCTCCTCATAGGTTGCCCTTGCCAGGAGACCAAGGAGGAAAGATTGAAATGTCAACACCTGGTGGGAAAGAAATTTCTGTCTGGAACGTTTGGGAAAATTCCAAGAGAGATGCAACCGGAGCCCCGACGAGCGGAGTGGAAGGGTTTGTGGCTTCAGAGCCAGACGGATCACACGTCTGTCTGCTCCTTGCGCCTCCGCGGTTGGCTGTGTGATCTGAGGCAAGGAACTTAATCTCTTGAACCTCAGTTTCCTCATTTGTAACACGGAGAGAGGAACGACGTGGATTGCGTAGGTCGGCTCCGAGAATTAAAGCAGCACGTGGAAAATTCTCGGCACAGAGAAGGGAAACCCTGATCTATCTGTGTCCTTGTCATTGGGGTCTCAGAAGCAGAGGGGCCGTCTCTGACACGACACCCACCCCGTCTAATGCAGTCACCCCTCTGCGCCGTTGAGAGCTGTGTTCTCTGCAGAGCATGCTGTTTCCCTGTTTTGTTTTTTTTTTCCGTTTGTGTGTTTTGTTTATTCGTTTGCTCTCTGGCTCCTCCTAGGAGGACGGCCGGCTAGAGCAGGGATCCAGCGCGGAACCACCCTGGCATAGAGTGGGTGCTAGATGATGAGTCATTCAGTAGATGGGTGCACAAATGATGGCTGTTATTTTCATTGTGTCAGGGTAACTTTTTAACATATTAATTTATGTGTTTATCTCCATAAATTAATATTAATTTCTGTGTTTTCCCCAGTTTCCATCCTCTTTTTAAGCAGTTAGCTGGCCGTGGGCCTTCTTGCCTCTGCAGAAGTTGTCTGCAAGATGCTCTTCTTCCTGGATTTTGTTTCCAAAACTCTCTATATAAAGTCATTGAAAAGATACTAGTGCCTGGAGAGCTGGTGGGGAGAGAGAAAAGGAGGGAGGAAGAGAGACAGGGAGAGATATAGATTGAGATAGAGAGAGAGGGAAAGGGAAAGGGGAATGATACCGGGAGAGACAGAGGCAGGGAAGGAGAGAGAAGCAGAAATATTCTGGAGAAAACATAAAAAAAGGACTCCCCAGTCATCCTCCATCCCCCAAGTCCAGAAGGAAAGTTTTGGAGACTGGATGGGGTGGGAGGAAGCTCTAGCATTCTGGGAATAGCAGTGGATGCCACATGCCCCTGAGAGAGCATCTAAGGAGGTGGCAGCACTTGGAGCGGGTGGCTTGGGGTGCCCCAGGGAGGCAGAGACCTGAGCATCAGGGTTCTCCAGTGACAGCAGTGATACCAGAGCAGCAGCGTGGGCCACTGTGATGGGGGTCTGGGTGAAGCTGGCCAGGACTGGTGACCGATGACCACAGGGGCCTCCCTGGGGCCATTTACACCCCTGGGGACAGCACAGCCCTCGGACAACTGAAGGTAAATGTGGTTCAGATTGTTCATCCTCCTCCACACTGTTTATTCCCTGAATCCTTTGAAAGGCCGGGTGACCCACCATGTGTCCATGATCGAAGAAGGGGATGGGTAGGTGTGAGCCGTGCCATTCCTGGCCCGAGATACAGCAGGAGAATGTCACTGAATACTCACCGTCACTCCTGGGCCCTGCTTGGTCCCAGGCTTCACGAGCGGTGAAGGTCAGAGGCAGCTGTGACCTGAAAGGTCACAATACTTTATTTTCCTACAGCACAATTAAATCTGGAGAAGGACCCCATGTACATGGTCGATGTATAATATCTGTCGCTTTTCATGGCTCCCTCCCCCTCACTTGTGTTATATCAGAACCTCAGGGCTTTGCAATTCAGGGAAAGCATGGAAGAGCTAGGAACCTTCAGATGTGCGCAGGAGTCACTGCGGTGGCTTCTGGCCCAGGGCCAGGCATTCACTAGAAGGCAGCCAGATGCTCTGTCAGTGGCAGGCCTGCTCTGCCATGAAGTTGGCGGAACAGCTTTGACCCTGGTACTCCTTGTCCGCGCCTCCACGGCAACCCCACCGGGTCCGCCCATAGGGACAGACCACTTCCTTCTGTCCCTCTAAGATCTAGCTTCTAATTCTTTCTGTGCTAAGACAAAACTACACAATTCGCCTTGTGGACTTTGCTCTGAGACCCGTCCTTGGTTTCAAGGAGGACTTCAGGATCACTTGGGGGTTGATGAGTGATAGATGTGTCCTCCTTTGAATATCTTCATAAAATAACATGTTGGGATCAAAGGGATGAAATTGAGCAAGTGAAATACTTGGCAGGGTGTCAGGAAAGACTTTCTGAGCAGATCTATTGGCTGCACCCCAGGGGCCTGGGCTGCTGCCTGAGTCCGAAAGCCTGTGGACCGTGGCTCTGAGGCCCTGGCCTTCCATCACGAACTTCCCCTTGTGGCTTCCACTTAGTGTAAAGCCTCAGGCTGTGACCATCTTCTGCTCTCTGGCCTCAGATGATTCTCCTTCTTTCCTTCCTTCTCCTCCTCCTCCTCCTCCTCCTCCTCCTCCTCTTTCTTCCTCTTCCTCTCCTTCTCCTCCTTCTTCTTCACACAGAGTTTTGGATCGAGGCTCCTCCATGGGTTCCAGGACCCACAGGCTGCAGGGGAAGGTGGATCACAGGGATATGGGAAGCCAGAAATCACCTCCTAACAGGGCAGGCTGGGGACAGGGCTGAACCATCAGGGGTGACTTAGTGTTTGCTGAAGGAATGAATGTAGGAATGACACAGACAAAGTGAAGCTGAGTGGTGGACCGGGGTTGCCTTTGGTGCTTCCCCTGGGCTCTTTTCTCTCTCTTAGACTGGAGAAGCTCAGTGTCCACAGCCCTCCTACAATCTTGCAGGACCCAGGAAGTACAGGGACAGCAATACGTTCGACTGGACTAGCTTCCGTTCCCTGGAGGGCTGTTCTCCAGGCCACCCTTCAAATCAGGCCCGGCAAGCAGTTAGTGGATTGTGAAATCAATGTAGTGGATGGAGACCCACCCAGCACTGAAAAAAAAAAATATATATATATAGAATCAAGTACAATTTAAAATATCAAAGTGTATCTCAGCAATAAAGGTATTTGTGAAAATGTTTCAGTTTGTGTATGATATATAGCATATTAGATGTCAATTGCATCGCGCAATGCATTTCATATTGGGGGTCAAGGTGAGTGAGGTTAGAGTATCCCTGGGGGATCTCTGGGGAATCCCATAACTCCTGGAAGAAGACGCTGCAGCTCTGACCAGCCAACTCATCAACTGTAAATGAAGAAGCATAAACCACCCAAAAGTCCCTTTCCTGAGACCTTGGGGACAAGTGGCTGGGGGTTGGGAGGCCGGGGTTCTGAGCCTGGATCTGTCCAGTACTGTGAGTCTTGGTGCATCGCTAACTTCTTCCCACCTCAGTTTTCTCCTCTCTTAAATGGGGAGGTCCCATTGTATCTGTGTGCACTGCTGCCCTCTGGTGGCGAGCTCTGTAACTGCCTTTCAATTTGGGTTTGTTGATTGGCCTGTGGCTTTCCAGATTCTTGGTTTCCTGTGAGAAGGGGCAAGGTGAACCAGCCTCACTCCCAGGAAGAGTGTATAGCACCCCACGTGTGTGTTGTAAGGTCTCCGCAAAGGCCCTTATTGCTCAAATACGCTGCTGGGAGCAATACTCTTGAGCGATAGTGTACAGTATAGACCTTTCAGTCAAGATCCATTTGTCAATGAGTATTGAGTAACCCTTTCAAAGTGTGTGAAATTTGCCTATGGGAGGCTTCAGGCCATGGGTTAAGGTAGCAGCTGTCTCCAGGCTCGTCAGCTGCTGCTTTCCACAGTGTGGGAGTTCATCAAGGGGACACTGCCTGGCACTGCCAGGTTGAAGGTCGACACTTCTGGAGTGACAACTGCAAGGCCTCAGTCTCTAGATGGTGATGTTTCTTCTTAGTGTTTTCCCACAGCAGCCTCCTTCCCTGTAATCGTCATTACCGCACATCAGAAATGCTGAGTGGGACCGAGGACCAAGACCTCTTCCCAGGGGACCCAGGTAGTCAAAGGTGTGATGAGGTCTACCTGCTTTGGGCCACTTAGCTGTATGCCAAGCACCTGGATGTGTCTTCTGGGTCTGAACAGTGTTTTTGGAAGGTGCTGAGAATGAGAGCAGATGTTTAGGTCATGGAGCTTATTCATCTCGCCACTATCCTCAACCTCTTCCCTATAGCATCTCCAGTTAAGGCTCTAATTAAGTTCCCTCCAGTCTTTGACTCAACATCTTGCAAGAAAAGCGATTTTCAAAAAAATTGTTTTACTTTAATAGCCTATTGCATTTTTCTGAGATTTACTTCTAGTAAATTAAAAGAGGACCGAATATTCCTGGCATTGTCTTTAGTTTGAAAAATGTCAGCTGTCAGCAGGAGCACTGCATCTTCAACCCCCCCAAAGTAAATATCTGGGAAGACTGCATCCATTAGGTGCTTAATAATTGTTCAGTAAAAGGTCAAATGCATAAACGAATGGGCGGAATCTCAGTGATGACACTTCAGATGAAGCATCTGAGCTATGAAGTAACTGTGCTGTGTAAAGACCTAAGTAAACGTTTGGTAAAACGGAGTCAGAGCACTTTTTAAAACAATCATTTAGATTATTAAACTGCTATCTTATGGAGGTCTGGGGGTCTGAAACAGGAGTGTTTTACTTTTAAACAATTCACTTCCCTTCTGACTTCAGGAACCCCCAAGATGGTTTGGTTTTGAGGACATTATCAGTCAACCGCAGCCAAGAAGTGATTAGCAAATGCCTGCTCCAAAGACATGGGTCTGACTTCTGAG